GGAATGCAAGAACTAAGGTACCTCCGATGCAAGCACTGTTGCACATCATCAAAATTCAAACGAACGCTGCAACAAGAGAGCCCAAGCATCCAAGCAACTTGTTCCCAAAACCATCGTTGCAAGCCCCGATCCGTGAACCAGATGACTGCATACTCCGTACCTGGGACACCTGAAAGCCTGAACATGAACTGTTGCGTGCTTGCCCGTGCTGCATGCGAAGGAGTACTAACCACTGAGCACGACGAGCAATCTGCTGATAGCGTGCGGTGCAAGGTAATTGCACCAGCTGGCCTTCCTGGAGCAGCAAGTTCAGAAACAAACACCCAAGGAATCTAATCTAGTCTTAGGCATTTTTCGCCTGACATGCATGGAAAAAACCTGGGAATCCGTCTGCTCCGGTAGGACTCAGCTGGCGGGACTTGGAAGTCCACCAAAACTGCAAGAGTAGCTTCCTCTTTTAGAGGGGCTGGAGGGTTGTCAAGATGCGAACGTTGCACTGTGGCGCTCGGGGAGGTTCAAAAATCTTGCTGCGCGTAGCATCTGACGCTACATGTTTAAGGAATAGGTGACTCTGAAACTCCCTAAACCCTAAACCCTAAACCCTGAACCTCCACAGCATGCATCCTTAAAAGTTGTTAAAGGCCACAAAAGGTGCTGGCAGGCAGAGGGACATCATCTAGCTCAGCACCCGGGGCCGTGATTGCTGCCTCCACTCATGTGCATACAACTGAAGGTGCATAATTTCAGACTCAGTGCATGCAGTTGAAGCAACATTAATGCTCCACCTGCTTAAACCTAATGGTTGCTTGATGTTTCTCTAAATACGTTTGGCTGCTATGTGAGCCACTGTCTAAACTCCTAGTATCCCCCTTAATAACCCCTATAGTAGTCCCCTATGTAATCCCCTATGTAACCCCCTTTCAGGAGTTTAGACTATAGCTCATGTGTTGAGCTGTAGTGCTTCAGTGATAATGTGTGCACTCGCAAGCCAAGGTCCGTGGCCCACACCGCTGCCCACGCTAGACTCAAGGCACTCGGCAGCTTGCAGATTATATTAGGGTTATATTGGGATAATGGAGAAGAAAATGGAAACTACTATAATGGGTTATATAGGGATTATATAGGGTTATATAGGGGTATATTGATTCTGGATGCTTTCCATTATCCTTATCTCCCCATACAACCCCTATTTGTACCCTCTAACCATAACCCCCAGATAACCCCTAGAGAGAGAGAGAGAGATATATATATATATCCAAATATACCCTGTATCCCCTATATTCCCCATGTTTGTTAAAGCGAGGAGTTGCACAGGACTTGGACAGCGCCTGTCTTCAAGCAGCATCCGGCCATCAGTCATCCTGGCCGTTTGTCCGCAAGGTAACACTAAAGTGACAGGGTGTGGCCTCTTCGTTGCTTGCAGCTCAGACAGCATCACACACATGTGCAGTTTGCTCCTTGCGTCGGCGCCGCGAACCATCATCATCCTGATCGGTACAACACGTCAAGACCTTCAATGCTCGACCATGTGCAACACAACGCTCAAAATATGTGCTGTGGGCAGTGTTTGTGCCTGTAAATACCAGTGTTGGTAGCACCTGCACTGCATGACAAGCATGCGAAAGGATTTGCTCGCATTATCCAGGCCAAACTCTCAAAACTGTGAATTTTGACTTGGAAATTTCATCACTCCTAAGCTAGTGTTGGACCTCAATTCTGCTGTACGCGAACATCATCAGCACAATAGGGACCCCGTTTGGAAGGTTTCAACACAAAACTCGGCTTTGAACACAGGAAGCAAAGCCCTAAGTTATCGCTTGGGGGGGAGAGTGAAGTGGGGGTGATTACGTAGATGACGGAAGAATATTCGGAAACTTCGTTTTCAACGGCATGAGTGCAGCCTGGTTGGCCCCAAGAGGGGGGGTGGCGGCTTCTTCTTGGGTTGCAGGGAGTGCAGTCACACTGCATAGCGTGCAGAGTAACAACTTCAACCCAAGACCATGTGCCGAAACATGTCTTAAACCGCAGTCCCTCGTCAACGTCCTCGTGAACATATCAACTCACGCTTTGGGCAACACAGTAACCCGCAGGTGGTCCTTGCGTCGGCGACGTGAGCTGTCATCATCCTGATCGGTACAAAACGGCAAGAGAACAGCAGCCTACAACGATGACGGTACGCCCAATACAGTGCAGAAACTTGATCTTAAGCTTTGGCACGTGGCAGGATGATGCTTGCTGGTGAAAAAGTACCGTGCCCATGCGCAGTTCAGTCCTTGCGTCGACGAGAACCGTCATCGTCATCGTCCTCCCGAGGCTCGTCCGAAACACAGCCATCAAGTATCAACCGCACACTTTCATGCCCAAATCAGAAAGCTTGGCGTGGTCTCTCTGAAGAGAAGTTTTTTAAGGAGAGTGATGACATGCATGTAGGTGTTTTTTCTATTAGGGTACAGGGGGCCATACTATGAAAAAGACGATGGGGATCCACTTCCTTGGTCTTTCAAGTCTGACTTGAAGTACCAAACCGAACAAGCAAGACTTCGTGGTGCGACGCTTCCCTGGCAGTGGTATAGAGAGAGACTGGTGGTGCCCCCCCTGCCAGCCATCTCTGCAAAGATGTTCATACTTTTGAGAGGCAGGTGCGACTATGGGCGTCCGTATTAGCATGCTATTTCCTTCCAAGCAATGCCAAAGAAACCTAAATCTAGAGTCGCACGACAAACTAGATGATGCTTCACTTAATGCGATGCGCTGCATTCAACTGGGTGACAGGCCACCCCAAGTTCTCATTTCCCCGCTTGGGCCTAGGGCTTGCCAAGTGTACTTCACAGGAGCAGGGCCCCTGCTAAATACCCAAGGCTTTGCCTGTTTTGGCAACCCTCAACAGCTCGTCGGAAATTTGAATGAACTCAAATTTCAGGCGCGCGAGCGCATCGCCGCTGGGGTTGTAAGGAATGCTTCGAAACAGGGTTTTAACACAGGATTCGGCTTTGAACACAGGAAGCAAAGCCCTAAGTTATCGCTTGGGGGGAGAGTGGATTGGGGGGGAAGGAATCTTTGGACATTTTACTTTCCAAGCATGAGTGCAACCTGGTTGACCACAAGGGGGAGGGGGGGGGCTTCTTCTTGGGTTGCAGAAAGTGCAGTCACACCGTGCAAACATAGCGTGCAGAGTACAACCTTCGATCCTAGACCATATCCTCGTGAACATGTCAACTCAACTTGTGGGCAACACAGTAACCCGCAGGTG